GTCTTATAAAGCATAGAGCTTTTTAGGACACTCAAGGGTGCTTTACTTTATTCATCCACACACTGATGATGGTAAACTACAATGTAGTTATGATTGATTGATGTCATTCATTAAAAAACAAGAGAAAGTCCATTAAAAAACTTAAGTAAATCATGTATTGAAGGAAAAGGGTGCAGAGTAATGAAAAATATTAATATAATATAATATAATATAAATTATGTATTATTTAAAGTCTCCCAACAATAGTATTGTTTATCGCGATAATTTCTGAGACAATTTATCGTCCAGCAAAATGTATTATCATTAACTCATGCTCCCAGGCCTCTGGTAGTATAACCAGGGTTTGAAGTGAAGTGGAACCACCCAGTTGGAAACCAGAGCAAACACAAACAGGGAATTTTTTTTAAAGATTAAATTTGTTTGGCAATAAGTGTAAGTCATAAATTGTGTGCCTTTTAAACAGCACAACTGTTGCCTTGGTACCAGATCATTAATAAATATTGGCCACGGCAGATTAATTTAATATCTTTGGTGATTAGGATTTATTTTTATTTGTACAGAAGAGAGAAATGATGCTCGAATAAAACTCACTGTGATCAAATGTACTCCTTTGTAACTCTTTATCTACTTGATTGTTTCAAGGATCATAATCTGCACCGCAAAACCTATAACAACACAAGTTAGATCAACACATCAGCGGTGGTGAAGAAACACAGTTTTACTGTGACTACACACACACACGCACACACACACACACACACACACACACACACACACACACACATATACACACACTCAAACACACACAAACACAAGCATCCTGAATCTCTGCTCTCTCCTTTCTCACCACTCAGATGAAACTTGTGCCAACTGCTCCTTCGGGGCAATCTGCGACGTCCAGAGCGGGCGCTGTGTGTGTCCGTCCGAGTGCGTCGAGTCCCATCAGCCTGTGTGCGGCAGCGATGGCACCACCTACAACAGCGAGTGTGAGCTGCATGTTCGAGCCTGCAAAGAACAGATGGACCTGCGAGTGGTCAGCCAAGGAGAGTGCAGTAAGTATCGTGTACATTCAGGCACTCATGTCAGTGTTACCCCTGCTAATGCACAACGAGGGCAGCCCACCCCCCAACCATAAAGCGGAGGGGTCGTATTAATTACGGGAGTAAATTTTTGACCTTTTTATTATGTGCTACAACGTGTTTCAWTATTTTCTCATAAATAACTGAAATATGGTGTCACAGCAGAGACATCCCTCTTGCTATACGTCTCACATAGCAAAGCAGATAACAACAACCATAGTTATATTTTTCACGCTGGAGTCAGAGGAGGAAAAACGTTTTGTTTTTTTAAATTCAAAAAAGAAAATATGTGGATGTTCTCATGCTCTTAAGTCCATCTTGCTAATTTGCTAATTTAACAATCACCTTCTGCAGTGGGAGCGCAGCAGAACATTTTCAGGAGCATGCTGACTCTCACAAGTATGGCAGGCCATTTGAACATATAATCTGCTTCACCACTTTTTCATTCCAGATGCTATATATTGGCTGTGTCCAAAATGACAGGCCGGGTCCTCCGGAGGACCCAGACTACCCGATCGAGGTGGGCCAGGTCCTTGGTAGACCAGGAAGACCGGGAAAAAAAGAGGCTGTGTGTATTTGGACGGTCTAGCGTCCCGTCCTTACGTCATGTCACCTAGCAACTGTGACGATGCTAAACAAGCAAACTTAAATCAAAACTAGAAAAATATCAATATATTAGCATTATTAATATCACAAAACTATAAAATTAACTTAAAAATATCATTTGAAGAACTAATTGACCCGCTGTAGGTGCATGTTTATTTCACGTTTTTTTTATGACAAAAATAATATTTAAAAACATGTCTATACAAATGATAAAAGTATTAGAATTACAACCACTAAAAATTTTTTAATGTTTATATCGCCATATTTTTTCTTTAAAACATATTCTTTTGTCTCGCTTCGTCCGCCATTACTAGCTTAAAAAAATCTCCGGTCGGGCCGCAAAGAATTATGGGATACGCTGGGCCGGGAAGGATCCATCGGACCAGTCCTTCAAATCGAGGAAAAGGAAGGACGTATTTGTCGGCCACATAGGAGGAGTCTTCAGTTTTGGACGGCCTTCGTCGCGGCGCTGTGACGTATGCGGCCGATGAATTCGGCCTTCGGAGGACCCGGCCTGCCATTTTGAACACAGCCATTCTGTAGCCTGGCCCTTGGCTTCCTATGCAGTTCTGCTCAGTTCTAGTTTCCCTTTGCTTCGTCTGGGATTTCTCCCATAGACAAGGATTTCTTAGGTAGAATTTGACCTGGGCCAATCAGAGAACAGAAGGAGTTTTGAACGACGTCAATTTTCTGCGCAGTCTGCTGGAGCAATGGCAGCAGAGGAAGTGAATGAAGCCAGGCTGTGTTGATAAGGCTTCCAAATTTAATTCATTTAAATTTGTCTCACAAAGGACTGCAAGGCTTATTTACAGTCGTCTCATTCAGCTCGGTACTTCTCTTCTCTCAGTAGGGTTGTTCACAGCACACACAATTTACGGTTAGCTTCTTGTCTTAGCCAACCGCCAACCGTTAGCGATTGGGTAAATCAAATYGAATTGTTTTAAACTTCAACAGAGGCCACGCCTCCAGGAAGCAATCGCTTCTCAATAACCGAGAGTCCAGACCCTCTGYACGAAGCAAAGCGAAGAACAAGGGGYTGGTTTTTACCAGGCTWTATATTCKGTAACTTTTATTTTTAAAACGATGCGCATTATTTTAATAAATACCGCGTTCAATGATTTTAGTTTACTATTTCTGAATTCACACAACGATTAAACTACCCTTTGCAGGAGTTTAGAGATGTTTTTTTTTTTGTTTGAAGACACTAAAGTTTTATAGTCAGACTTTGTCCTTTTAGGATAAAGTTGGGAATGATATGTAAAAAATGAGCCCTACAGCTCCAAGCAGGCAGACAGGATTTACATTTTAATCTCTATCCTAATGATCAAATTAACTTCATGGATAGATCCTGTACGCGGTGACCTGCGGTGCTCTGAACTGTCTCTCTGCTGTGTTTGTGATGCAGAAACATGTGGCAACACAGTTTGTGCCTGGGGTGCCCGTTGTGTCGAGAATAAGTGCGAGTGCCAGGAGTGCTCAGGCGAGGAGTCCTCCCCGGTGTGTGGTAGCGATGGTAATACCTACGACAACGAGTGTGAACTCCGGAGGTCCTCCTGCATACAGAAGAGGAAAATTGATGTGGCGCAGCCCGGCAGCTGTGATGAAGGTAGGAAATGGACTTTGAAATGTTGTAATTATGTTAACCAATCAGCCATTGAAGTGGTGTAATTAACTTTACCAACTGACCTGTGGTACAGTGTTTAGTCATCTGTGGATTTTCATAATGGTGGGCTATACCTCTAACAGCTTGCCAGTCCTCTGACATCACCAAAAGTTGCTCTGGGAAAGTGTGTGTGTGTCCGTAAACACAAACTGTTACTGCAACTCAAGCTGCCTTTGAATAAATAGGCTTTTATCTGCTGTACTTTTCAAAACAAAACTCCAGCCACTGTGTCTACTTGAGTTTTTTTTTTTCAGTTCCTTGTCGTGCTTTTTATCTTGTAAAGTCCTGCTGTTATTTGTTGTTTACATCTCTCAACATTTGCCAGTAGGGTGTACATATAAAATACGGATGTAGCTCATGTTAGATCATTCATCAAGGCATTATTTTGAAGCCCAAACTTTGAAGTGCCTAATGCAGAGTTTATGATGTAAAATCAGTCTCCCTTTAAATACCGTCACTTAAACTCAACTGGAGAGACTGTTTGTTTTATAGCCTAATGAAATAAGAAAATGGAGGCTAATAGAATATTAGAAGGCCCTAAAATGACCTGAAATTACACGCAGTGGTAAAACCTGACAACTCGTTTGAGAGAAGCTGTAAAAATTTGAGGGAAAAGTTTGAGGAAGGCAATCAAAAAATGGAAACCACCCATCTTAGCATGGRATAATCCTTACAGAAGTTGATAGTTCAGTTACAAGCAAGAATGAGCAGTAATTAAAAAAACTAGAGGTTATTAAAGCAACTTTGAGGA